TTGAGACCACTTTCGATGCCCTTTTTTAAGCCATGAATATAGTCTCTGAATCCGATAAAATGTGGATATTTATGTATGTGAATGTTTTGTACTGGAGAAGTTTCTTGTTTATTATTATTATCAAATTCAGCTTTGACGTGGAAAATACTTATGTAGTTCTTTTTAAGTTGATTGACTGTTTCTTTATTGTTTGTAGACTGATTATCGATATCACTAGTAACAGTAAAAATATCAGTATTAGTGGCATTATTCAAAGGTTTAGTTAAAGTAAAATTAGTAACAATAGGACCAAGTATGTTTTCAGTATTAGCAATGTCGTCTATGATTTCCGTGACTTCGTACTGAGATTGAGGTGTCTCTGTTTGATCAGTGAAAGTTGATGTTTTTTCTTCATCGTAGAGTCTTTGCTCATCATTTGATGATGAGTCGTAGTATTCTTCTGATTCTGTGTGATCGTAATATTCATTATCTTTGTGCAATGTTGACACTGCGGTTACGCGACTGATCTGAAACAATATTGATTTTAATTTGTTACAGTACCAACATTCATCAAACAATTAATTTTACTTTTGTAAATATTGGACTTTAGTATGAATATTATCAATTATAAATTTAACCAATTTTACCACTGTAAATTATACATTTGTAATTTATGAATATATAGACCGATTCAGGAACAAAGATTCGAAGAAGAATGAGTTTTATCGATGTAGCCAAGGTGCAAGCAGAAAGTGGAAATGGGTAGGCCATATATGCCGTAAACAAGATTACCAACGGGTTAGAAGGGTTAGGGGCTGGCAACTCAACACGGACATGTTACTCAACATTGGGTAGGCAGAGGTTGACAAAGAAGCAGAAGAATTTACAAAGGTTTCTGTAGAAATCAATACCACCACTAAATAAACTATAATGTTTCTGAAAATAAGTTCGAATTATAAAAAGAGCGATTTTCATTTCTTGACTATATTGGTTTCAACGTACATTATGTTTTTATGTATATTTTCTATAGGACTTACCAAAAACATAGTTAAAATTATTTTGTATTCCATGTTCGTATCGACAATTAGTCCGGCGCTTTGGAAGGTTCTCTCACCGACTGCCACAGCGAGCTAATTACCGACAAAAAAGTGACAAAAAATGCGGGCGTTTTTACCAATTCATTATCCGATCAAATAAATTAAACATTTCACTTTTTACCGACCCATTTACTGTACACGTAGGTAATGGTGTTGGTGGCCTTTTGAAGGGTTTTTTATAGGCAACGTTGTGAGTCACTCGATTGTGTGAATAAAATTAGTAAGAGTTCGGTGAGTTGGTAACCCGAGGGCCCTTAAATTCATTGTAACAGTCTATAGACCCTGGACTTGGCGAGACAATTTAGTGTAACGCATGAGATTGGAATTTTTAAGCTTAAAGGATATGCCCGAGTCATTTCTGCGGTTACATACCTAGTTACTTTATGTGGGGCGCACTATAAGTTTCCGGAATTAATAAGAAAAAAATACTACAAATGGTCAGAAATGAATTAATTGTTTCTCAAAATAGTCTCCGTTAGCGTTAATGCACGTTTTCATATGAATGAACCAATTTTGAAAACATTTATGTCACTTCTCCGTGACAATATCTGAAACAAATTTTTCATACTCTTCGAGAGCCTCTTCAGGTGGTGAAAATCGTTTACCGCGTAACTGGCTCTTAATTTTTGGAAATAAATAAAAGTCACAAACTTTACGCAGGATGGCTTATAAGGTCAACGTTGTTCACCTTCAAAAAATCATTTGAGAACTGGCATGATCGTGGTGCAAGATGATACGGCGTTTACGGTTATTTTTACGGAGTTTGTTAATAACTTCCGGCAAACAAATGGTCGTGTACCAATCACTAATCACAGTACAACGATTCTCCAAAGCAACAGTAGCCACGTGTCCAGTTTTATTAAAAAAAAGAAGCAATCATCCGCTTAGAGGCACGCGCGCCGCTTTGGTTGGTTTCGACTCATCTCGAAAGACCCATACACTCGATTGCTGCTTTGTTTTGAGATCGTAACTATCCAATTCCATATTTCGTCACCAGTTACTATGTCCCACACCGAATTTGACGCCCCTTCGTTGAATCTGGTAAGCATGGCATTGCACCAAGTCACGCGATCCGTTTTTTGAATCTCAGTCAAATTGTATGGGATCTACCGAGAGCACAGCTTTTTCACACCCAAATGTTTGTGCAGTATTGATTGTGTTTGACTCATGCCTATGCCTAAAGATGCCCGAATCTCAGGGTATGTCACACGTCTGTCTGTTTTGATCATACGGCGCATCGATGTTTTTGTTGTTCACAGCATTGGACAGACGATCATCACGAAATTCGTCACTGAGATTCACACGACCGCGTTTGAATTCTGCAAACCAGCTATAAATAGTCGTCTTGCATGGTGCTTCATCGCCAAAAGCAGTTTGAGGAGGAGCGAAGCTCCGCTGAGCTGTTAAATTACACTTAAAGTCGTAGAAAATCATACTACGAAAATTTTCACAATCCATGATGATGTAGACAACCAATTTCTAAAATGACGCCACGATGTAAAAACAAGTGACAGTTAGATGAAACAAACTGTATTCTACAGCCAAAGAGTTCCATTTTCAAATGTTGTAATTACTTTTTAAATATTGTTTATGTAAGTGGCCAGTTCCGGAAACTTATAGTGCGCCCTATGTATAAGTTCAATCGACAAGCGTGGCAAGAGGTGATTTGGAATTAGTTAGTAGTAGAGGCGAGGCTGCAGAGTCTTGAACCGTAAAGTTGCTTACTTATCGGTATTCTACAGGATATATCACGGAGAGTGTGCGATGGAATTGCATAATTTGATTCAGCCTTCCCCTTTCCATCATCGGGGGACTAGACGTGGACTGGGATTCCACCCCTGTGTGTTTGATATTTTCTATTTATTACTTTTTCTATATATGTTTCTTATATTTATTTTGTTTCGCTACTACATTTATATGGTAAGCGGCTAAAGATAGGAATTCCCTGCCTGCGAACTTATTGCCTGTACGCTATAACTTGGACCTTTTCAAGGCGAGAGTGAATGGCATTATTTAGCTGTGCATGCTACATCGTCGACCTAATCATCACTATCCATCTGGTGAAATCGAGGTCATATGATCTCACTATTTTTTATTAAAAAAAATCTTTCTTTGTTGTCAACAATAGAAATTATATTAATTCAACATCTTTAACTTATTATACGTCCCACTGCTGGGCACAGGTCTTTTGTACAAAGAGGCTCTTATTAGCCGGTTTTGAAACCTTCTTCCACAGTCAGGTTAGGGAGAGGTACTGCTGCTAATAATTCACAAATGCGTAACTTAGAAACTAAAGTCACATAAAGATACATGCCTTCACAGGGATTCGAACTGGTCAATGAGAAGCAACCGTTTTCACACTAGACGACAACCGCTCTTTTCATATTAGTTTTTCTGGAAGCAGTAGAGCTCCTTATGAAAGAGTTGATCCAGGAAAATACTGCCACCTTACCTACTGCTGCCGCCCGGTTTAGAAAAACTTAGGGTGCTGGCGAAATTACAGGCACATGGAACTTGTCAACTTATGGCTCAGGGTGACCCCTCACATCTTTGCTATTTAAAGCTCTGAGTGGCACCGCAAATATTATGGATAGGCGTGTCGCATGGTATTATAAAAAAAAATATTATCAATGCGTGACCAATTAAAGTGTCATATGCACGTACGGTTTAATTTACAACGTTTGGTGGCTTTGTTTGTATTATTCATTCCGCAAAATAGCTTTGTTATCTGCTTCTATAGGATGATACACATAAGCGCGTAAATACGTACATGTTTTTCGCATTCAAAAGATAACATGCAATTCGTCCGTGTTTACACATACTCGTAATATATCGATATAACATCGGCTTTGAAATGTTGATTTTCCTCGCTCCAATTATAATAACTCGATTTTCACACAAGACACAAAAGAGTTTGACCTAGAAATATATACTTTCGTACACTGTAGAGATAGGTACGTACGTTACGAATGAAAACCTATTATAAGTTTGTTATAATTATACAAAACTTCTTCGATCCGGCTGGATTCTAATCAACGTCTTCCAACAACGTTATGCCAACTAAGCCACGGAATGAAATAGCGGACCTTACTAGTACTTGCTTGTTGCAGATCTATGTTTTTGGTTTTAACGACTTTTTTGCCATAGCGCCATCTGTGACAAATGTATTTGTTCACGGTGGTCAAACATTCTATAAAAACTTAAAAATTACTGATAAGATTTTATGCCTTCGCTTTCTCGTTGTTATTAGCAATATTTACAAAGAAATTTCTCATGCGTATGTAGTTGTATGTGTCGGTTTATTGTTGATTTCTGTATTGTTGTCAGTGGCTCACTCGCCCCGGGCTTGCTGAAAATCAGCGCCACGAGACGGTTTTAAAAAAAAGCCGTTTGTGGCTAAAGCTGAGCAAGTCCCGATTGCACCAGTCGCGACACGCATGACGATGAATTTAGTACTGCATTATCAATTGTTTTAATTGATTTTTTTATTATTATATCATTATTTATTTAGATTCTCGCCTTTGATAATGGCTTAAAAGATTAATTTTGAATTGTTCTTGTTGTAATTATTATTATTGTTCCTCTGTTGTTTTGTCTATATGCGTGTGTGTGCAAATTTAAATTTTTGTTTACATAGTGACGGGCATAAAAATTGCGTGCTCGTAAACAATGTGGTTAATCCATCACAGTCCTTTTACCTAATTTGTGTTCGATTATGGACGTCCATAAAAAGCCATGGTAGCCGAATGGTTTCGCCTACTAGTGGGTTCGGATCCGGTCTCGCCCTTGTGACTTTTTCGGAATTTATTTTGAAATTTACCATGGGCTTTTAGGTGAAGGAAAATATCGTGGAGAAACTGCACGAAGAAGGCTCACAACACTCGGAAAACGTGTGAAGCACCAACCCGCATTTGACTAGCATGGCGGGGATAAGTGCCCAGCAGTGCGAAGTATAAATGGGTTGACGATAATGCTGATGATGGACATTCATATACTGGCAATGTAGAGCACCCCGTCATGGCAAAGCTATTTTTAGATGATGAAAATTCATCGAGTATATAACCAGAAGAATCCCTGGCAACTCATCAGGCAAATGAGCCTTATATCATTTTTAAATATCAACTCTCGTTTGCGCTGAAATCACAAATTAGAAAGCTGAAATAGTACATCGCCAACAACTGACATGTGTGTACGTCTCCGTATATTCCAAAAATATTCTGTTTTTATTGTGATACAGATAATATCTCCAGCAATGGGAGGCTGCTCCATTCGGTGGTGTGGGAAAAACAGCAAAACAACTAATTACAAAACAAATGGAATCACATTTCGTCGGTAATTAAATATGTAATTTTTAAATTTTCGTATATCACAGCAAAGCTCAAGTTAAACTGGTTGTTTTGAAGTGAAATAATTGACGACACCTATCAATTGTTTCGACTTCGGGTTGCCCAATCGGTGCTCAGTTGTCACCGTAATGATTTGGCAAAATAGTTTTCAAACAAATTAAATGACATTTCGTCTCTATTTCTGGTTATATATACTCGATGTGAAAATTACACTTATTAAATTAAGCATGGCATGGAACGCCTTTTAAGGAGAGTGTGCCATGCCATTATCTACCATATAGGCTTTATTATAAGGGAGGCAAACGACCTCCCAACTACAATTACAATTGATATCATTAAGTGTTATGGGCCATGACAATACGGGCAATGTACCGTAGTAATCAAACCTTTTCTTTCACCTTCCGGAACTGCGGAAGTTCCGCACGTTTTTTCACATTTGTTTCTGTTTTTGTTTTCGCATCTTTTATAACGGACCTTTAATCGGAATCGGTTTTTAAGCGGTTTTGTGTTGTGTTTAATGCAATTAGGAAACCAAACATTTGCCCTGTTTGGAAGTATCTGGTTGAGATCTGTGTAGTATTTATACTTCCGCTTCCGCATCTCTTTTCGTTTCCGTTAAGATTTACATTCGACATCTGTTTCCGTTATCCACTTTATAGTCATATGTAGCTGAATCTAATTTCTTTATTGTATTGCACGTGAAACAAACTTTATGAAATGAAATA